TTTGGTGCGAACGCTGCCAGCGGGCTGTTTCCACAAACTTATTTCAAATGTTTGGACGCTGCGCCCTGCCAAACCGTTTGATTTCGGTGACAGCGCCGGCGATGTCAGATGTACTACTCCGTTCGATCGACAGAATGTCCGAAAAGTTTCAGACATGAAACACTGTGCATTGCCTGACACAAACGTTTTGGGCAACCCCAATCAAGTCAATGAAGTGCGCACATGTCCGAATGTGATCTCTGATGTACACTTCCGGAAGGATAAATATCCAGCCGCTTGGAACATGCGTCAATTATGATGAAAAACATCCAACCATCGACTGGACCACAATAATCAACATGAAAGCGCTCCCAGGGTTTTGGGGGCCAAACCCGGGGGTGCAAAGGAACCTCTGGCATGCTTCTGCGATGTGCCTGGTACTTTCTGCATCTCTGCGAAATGGTCATGATGTCATCAACCGTACGCCACCAGACGCACGTGCGAGAGAACGACTTTGTGCGGGTTTCGTCACAATATCCGTCACGAAGCAGCTTTAGAGTTTCCTCCGTCCCTGAGGTGGGGCAACCGCGGGAGATCCCCACAGAAGGCAGCCATCCTAGACACTCGGCTCAGACAACCGGTATTTATACGGCCGAAAAGATGGCGACAGCGCGTCGCTGGTTGTCGGCCAGTCATCTCCGACAAACTGCATCGCAACAGACAGTGCAGGGTCACGGGAAGTCCATTGGTGAATCTGATGTGCTGAAAGTGGAGAGGCATCCAGGAACTTCATAAGATGTATCATCTCAGCAGCAGCACATGGCTCAATGGACTAGCTACTACTGGCAAGGGAAGCCTGCTGAGCGCATCTCACAGCGCGCCTGCCTCGCCCCGGGAGCGAACTCCAAGTAATAATGATATGCACACTAATAATTATATGCATCAGGGCCCACTAAATCACACGAGGCAAAGCCATCAAGGGAAGCGGCTTCATCTCACCAATAGATCCCATCAGAGCCCTATGCTCTGTCCGCGCCGAAAACGGACGGCCCACCAGATAGTAAAGGAGATTTTTAACTTCGGCGATTACTGCTAACCCTTTCTGTCGGTCTGAGAATAGCATTACGCAGTGTCATTCAGCGACCGCGAGTGAAAAGCTGCCGGCCGCTCCCCTGCCTTGCCTGCTGGCTGAGAACAGAGCCCAATCCGACTGAACTAGCGCCACAAACCACTGGCAGCTACGGATTAAAATGAGTCAGGGCGGGAGCATTCTGGAGAACACGCTTTGCGTCCTCAAAGGCCCTTCGCTCCGAGGCCGTCCACTGCCACGGCTGATTTTTTCGGAGGAAAACGTGCAACGGTGGGAGAGCAGTCACCAATCTGTGCAAAAATTTATCACAATAGTTTATTAACCCGTAACCAGCAACAAAGTTCGGAGATATCTCGCTTTTCCTCCGCTTGTCTTGAGACCTGCATCACTCAGGCGGCGCAGAACCTGACGCAACGTTACATCGTGACTTTCCAGAGCTTTGCCCGCTACGACCATGTCATCAAAGAGCACGCAGACATCAGGCATGCGTGCTAGCGGCGTATCCATGGTTCTTTGAAACAGAAACGGCACTGAGGCGAAGCCGAAACTTACGCGTGTGGGCCGCAACAGCCCTTTTTATGTGTTTACAGTCAAGTGCTCACGCGAGTTTTCAATCAAAACCATTTAATTATGAGTGGACTTGAAGTCAGTCTTAGAAAACACTGCTACCAGCTAACATGAGCAGCGGTCCCTGGACAACGATTGTGCTCAGCTTTGGCGACCTTGTTCACAAGGAGCCGCCCGCGCGCTGATCTCGACGGATTCCCACAGCCCCTGCTGGATCTGTTTGCCCAGCTTCGTTTCCACCTGGTCGCGGTAGGCCAGTGGAACATTGCAAGCCTTGAAGAATCTCGCTTTTAGGTCTGGGTTCAAAGAGATGCTAGGCTCTATCCGCCTGGCAATGACCTAAAACCTTGCTGAAAACTTCTGAAAACTCGTTCCAGACGCTCTCGGTCTCACAGTCCCTTATAACACGGCATACGTACGGCCAATCCAGCTTCAAATGTGACTTCCGGTTACGTCCTAGAGAAACGGACCCTCACCGTTGACCATAATCAAGACAGATGCACACGCTGCTCCCCATAACAGACAAGAGATGCTAGCTCTACCGCCTGGCAATGACCTAAAACCTTGCTGAAAACTTCTGAAAACTCGTTCCAGACGCTCTCGGTCTCACAGTCCCTTATAACACGGCATACGTACGGCCAATCCATCTTCAAATGTGACTTCCGGTTACGTCTTAGAGAAACGGACCCTCACCGTTGACCATAATCAAGACAGGTGCACACGCTGCTCCCCATAACAGACATTCGCCATCACTTCACCGCACCACAACACTTCCCCGCTATATGTTTTAAGAGTTTTGTCACATGACTTAATGTCGTGCTCTTTCACCGGCCATGCACGCTTAAACTGCCGCCCCCGCGTCGCATTCCACCTGCACAGGCTGACCGTCAGGCAACACGATAGCCATCAAAGGGGGCATACAATCATCACCCGCTTTGACTGACGGGGCTCGAAACAGGAGATCGCTCTCGCCGCCATGATCACCGGCACCGCCAGCAGGACGCCCCTCAGCAGCCGCAGCAGCAGCCGGCTGCAGCAGCTCCTCTTTCTCCTGTCACTTGTCTTAGGCGCTCAGGGCCGGCTCGATCGCGGCAGGCCACTCCTGCATGGCCGATGACACCGCACGAGAAACAGCGCCGCGAATGGCACGGGCAGGCTCAGCAGCCGCAGCAGCAGTCGCTGGTGCTGCATCCCCCACGCCAAGCAGCCGCAGCAGCAGTCGCTGGTGCTGGACCCGCACACCAAGCAGCCGCAGCAGCAGTCGCTGGTGCTGGATCCTGCACACCAAACGGTCCTGGAGCATCTCATCCAGCACAGTCGATTCGAACTTGCAAGGCTTAGCCAGCTTGCGCGGTCTTGCTGGGTACGAACTGACAGATTCGCCGACACTACGCAGGCACGAATGATACCAGAAACTGGACAAAACGGACTGTTGTGGCTCAAAGCTGTCAAACAAAATCTTAATAGGATCTTTATAGAACTTCTCTCCTACCGTTACACAGCTTACCAGGTCTTCCAGGAACCCGAAAGTGTTTGTGCCAGCCGTACTAGGGTATACATGCTTGTCGTCGCGCAATGTTGTTCTCCTTAACGCCATTAGCCTCGAAATAGTGCTCGAGACGCCTGCTGTACACCAAACGGCTCCACCGCTGAGTCAAACTCTGGCACTTTACCCATAGACGCCAGCACACGCAGTGCACTACCCGTCGTCATCGAAGTAGACAAGCAGGCATCCCGTTCTGAGCTATCTTTTTGGTCCGGAGATTGGCCCGGCCTCACCCCTCATAGCCTGCGGCAGGGAAAGCCGGCCGAGGTCGGCCGAGCAGAGGCGGTGCCAGGCACTGCACTATATACATATATATATATATATATATATATATATATATATATATATATATAGCCAGATAGCCAGAGAAACACACACATATATATATATATATATATATATACATATATACACCCAGTGAGGAACTGAAATGTTCAACATTCATTGGTTCAGTTCGTATAGCCTTTGGACACGCCTGCTTAAGGGCCAGGGTTCCACCCTCTGCCGAGGCTCTCATCTTCAAAGCCTGTCAGAGTAGCAATATCACCCACCAGCAACGCGGCCGCACCATGTGGTCCTTCACAACCGGACTGCGGAAAAACAACACAGTGCGTGAAATTATGAGGTGCAAATGTTTACCCATACGTCGACCTATTATAACTCCTGTTTGATAACTGTGCTCAACCTTGTCCATTACTTGAACGAGTCTGCATGCAATCACCTTGGCTGTTACTTTGCAAAGCTCACCCAATAGGAACAATGATTTTTGTGTTCTAGCTACAATTTTCTTCCTTTCCTTGGAATTCGAGTTAAATGCTAAAACAACTACTTATAGGAAGCCACGTTGTAATTGCTGTGCATTAAGCGTGAAAATGTAGTTAAGGTTTTAGGTTAAAAGCAAGTTTTCTGACTGCTGTTGTATTTCAGAGCTTGTACATCCAGTGGCGGATCCAGAGGAATGGGGGGGGGGGAATCACGGGGCCATGTCCCCTTGGGCCCCGAAGGGCCTGTAGGCTGCGCAGGGGAATCATAACTATCCGAATAGACGCTGCTATTTTTAAGCACAAGACGCAACCAAATTTTTTGTTGGCCTCCACGCGATCAAAAACAGCAGCAAGTGAAATAGAAGATCCCCATTAACAGGCAAAAATGACTTTCGCAAATTTCGTTGATTTCGGTGATCCAGCTGAGCTAAAGGGAAACCGCTTGCAGAAATAAAGCGGTCCTGACATCCGCACTGCGTTATATTGAGCGTGTATGTCCCTGTCCGTGTTGAATAAATGAATGCGTTGGCTCGCTCTGCTTTATTTTGCTTCCATATAAGCTCAAAGTGCCCGTGGACAAAATTAGCCCGTAAGTGAAACGTAGCACACCCTTTCCCTTGATTTACGCCGGACAACATAGCCGGCTTAACGAAGCCTTTCGCCTGTCCTTCAGCCGGAGCTGGATCTCCCCTCCCTCGCCCTGATTTGACTGCAAGTCCGCCTGGGAAAAGGAATCAATTTGCGTAAGATAGATAAATGACGTATACACCCACTATTTGTTGTTTTTTAAATTTTTTATCTTGCACGTCTGGTGGCTATCAAATCCGTATGGGAGCGTCAGGGGTTGTAATATGCCACCGGACACTGGCAAAAGTGGAAGTGTTATACACGACAGCCAGGGTTCAAGCATACAGCACCTTGGACACCTACAAGGACCGTTTCAGAGAAGACCGGGGCATCAGTGGCGTTCCGTCCGCTCTCTCCCCTGTCGTGTGCTGACCTTCGTGCTGACATGTTCACACCTCTGAGCGGCCATGCTTGCTTCTTTTCTCAGATGTGACAACCGGAATAGGTGCACTGTCCTACCTGTTCTTCATCATTACCATCATACAAGCCGTCGCTGAGTGTTCAACTACTCCCCCGCCGCCGCCGCCGCCGCCGCCGCCGCCTCCGCCTCCGCCGTCGCCAGTGATCCCCACACCACCGCCCGCTGCTCCGACGGCGGCGCCGACGCCGCCTCCGCCGGCACTGCCGGCCGTGGTGGCGGCCATAGCGACGGTAGAGGCGCTGGACATCGCCGCCATCATTGGAGGTGAGTTCATTTTAAACTCATTACGGCTCTTGCCACTCACCGCAAAAAAGATGCTACCATGCGGGCTGAAAAGTCCTTGCCCTGTTGTGCGTCGCCACCATATGCGTCGGTTAAGACAATTTGAATTATATGCATGAGAGGAGATGTGAAATCTGCATGCGTGGCAGTGGACACAAGAGTCGTTTTCGAAATTGCACAATTCCAACATTTTGTTGTTACAAAAATGCTTGTTTCGGCAGGTTCACCACACCATCGTTTCTCACCATTCTCTGCCTATGCTGATGTCCAGGGACAATTTTCAAATTACCATGTGCATACCAACCACATTTGTTGAAACAACATCTTGCTTCTGACTGTAATCTGACCTAAGGCTTAATATTTGCTTAGCATTTGCTTAACATTTGCCCCTCTGCCGTTCCTAAAGTGAAGAAACGAGCAGCGCGGAAAGAATGAGTGAATTCTTTTTCACGAGATCTCGCGGATAGTCATAAATATTATGTTGCTAGATAAATATTGACCTCACTAGCGCAGGTTCACAGTAAAATTTTCCGTGAAAAACTAACTTCTCAGCTTTACATGCTCACGGGCACCATTACTACGACAAGAGAGGTACTTATGGGACAGTTCAACATAAATTTAGGCATGAGACAACATAAAAATTATGACACAACCATGTAGCTCTTATGCAGCTTATGTGCCGTAGACCCCATAGCTATGCAAGACTTCTGAGCGCAGTAGGTTGTATTTCTGTAATTTTATGTGTTTTGAGCGCCCATGTATAATGAAGGGCTCTGTTAATGTGGTTACCGCCCGTTGCACGCGCCGGTCGTGGATCGCCGCGCAGTGTACCTCAACACCGCCACTTCTCAAAGCAAGAAACGCTGAGGACACATTCACAATACGCGCAATGAATGTCCCAGAAACTAATGACAATTTTGGTGCGATCACATGACATGCCGGAGAAGAATCCTCAGAAAGCTGTGGCGATGAATCGCATTGACCTCCTGCCCCTCTTATCAAGGAGCGGGTTGAACAGTCACCGGATCATCCTGTTCCGGGTAGACGCGCCGTTAGCCTACTCCGAACAGGGACTAGAACCAGCTGCGAATTCATAAAACCTGAACTCCTGGAACTATGAATCCGATTAATATTTAACTTTGTAATGTCCAGACACGTAGAACATGATGTGGTAGGTCCGCGGCGAGAAAGCGTGCCTGACACCTGAAACAACATGACTGACTCGATTGACGTTGGTACACGTGCCCTCTACGGTAGTGCACTTCTCGTATTATTCGGATCTGTGAGATCTAGGCACTGTTGAGACATGCAAGTCCCTGCACAACCGACATCATTTGCACAACATCCCTGCACAACCGAGCAGGTGGCCTAAGGTCGTGACCCAAGTATCGTAAAAGGCAGACCGAACGAAAACTTAATTTGAAATGGTGCCACGATGTGATTGCTACCGCAAAAATCTCCTACCGGCAGGATTGCTGCGACATTATTGGTACATGAAATAACTTATAATGCAAACACTTGTATTAAACTTAACTGGTACGGGGTCCCAATTCTACTACACACATGTACGGAACGTGAGTGCCACACGACAACATGACTATGTTAGACATAAACATCCGGGATGTACTGCTGCATCTTATGCGGTATTTACTTTTACGAGGTACTGCTTTCACAGCAAAACTCGCACACAAGAGTGCAGCACGACAAAATTTCATCTGCCAAAACTATGCTCGGCATTACTTCCAGGGGAAATATTTATACAGCCGTCAATTGTACGCGACACCCTCTACTACGCCGAATGTGACGGTTATGAAGACGACACTGCAGTTATAGGTGACATGAAGGCTAAGCGATGAATTTGAAAGGATAATGAATGCCTTATATCTAAGAATACTTATGCCTGTCATCATGTCCACTGCAAAAAAACTATTTAGTCCGTGCTTGCCCATCGATATTACTGTTACTGCCCAAACTTATACTTGGCATTTGTGTTATCTAGTGCTAGTCAAGGGCTGAAGATGCAGGTCGTACTCCACAAATTATAGCCGTCAGTACTTCCACCCATAGCTTAAACTGGAAGCCCTATCAAAATCGCGGAGCGAACGAGCATGGGGGCTCTTGGACGGGCGGAACCAGACTAGAGGTGCAGCACCACCCCATGGTGCTGATGCAGTGGTGCCGCTGCAGTATTGCTTTTGACAGGTCCACGACGGCAAAACGTCCAGGCAACTTTCCCTGTACTGAAAAAACGTATAATGTAATGTCGTAGCGTTACAAAACAAGCATGAGAAATGAGCAGGATAAACGGCCTAATTAGCTCGAAAATGATGTAAATATGGCGTTTGCATCGAGCTTGACGAGCCTTCTTATTACAGATGAGGGTGGATTGGTTAAAGTTCTGAGTAAATACGAAACGATGCCCTCGGCCTCGTGTTCACTAAAACGTGGCATTACTTCCACTAAAATGACTTATATAGGGTTCTAGTGCTCCGCGACGAAACTGATGCTTCAAAATGTATACCCGTCTTTGAGATACGTTTCCAAAGCATCAGCCGATAGTCCTAGGCCAAGTACGACATATATACAAAACAGCGTAACATTGTGAATATATCATTTTCGTACAGAGATCATGGATGTTAACTGCAGTATTGCCTAGTTAGGATTTCCTATGGAACTGCGCAATGTTTCTACATCCCTGCCAGGAGTCTCTGCATTTTGCACTTGTGAATATTTTCAGAAGTAGTTTTCCGTACATGAAACGGCTATGTAAGTTTTTGAAGTGGACAAAGAGACGGGTATAAGTATTTGAAGCATCAGTTTTGTCGTTTAGCATTAACATCGCGTCAAGTGTTTGCAGTAGAGGTAATGTTTTTAAAGGTAATAGCTGTGTAAATTTTTGCGGTACGTGCAATGACGAGCATAGATTTTTGAAGCGTAAGCTTTGTCGCATAGCACTTATGTCATGTACAAGTGTTGGTGGTAGATGCATTGTAGTATCAGTCCTGTCAATATGAGTTTCAGCTGTAGCACTTATGACGTGGAACATATATCAATATATGAACGTTAAGTGGCGCAGAACACCTCAGACACGAGTCTGGTTTGTGCGATTCTGACTAACTGGATGGAAACATATCGCGCGAGAATACCACTGAAGTGCCAAACATCACACATTAACAGTCGTGATAAAGTTAAGATGGTGTTGAAAATGGAAAGGTCGTTTTCCTGATACTTTTATGTGAGTGTTGGGTGCAAAGGCATTCTCCACTAACACGAAACATCAAGTTCCAACATACCAGATTGCTTGAAATATCGGAAACAACGGAACAAGCGCAAGCCTTATTGGGAAACCAAATGACATTCGTTCCAGCTAACGAATGCATCCATCGCAAAAAGTGATTTAGCTGTGAAATGCTTCCCAGATGTGAAGGCATGATGTACAATTATTAGTTAATAAGCATTGGTCCTTCCCGGTTAGGACAGTCGGCAATACACTGGATTCGCAATTAGATCTAGGACAACTGCGTCAAAGAGAGGAATCGGATTGTGACGCCGAGGCTAGCAACAGACCACCACTGAGTTTTTCTCAGGACGCAATAACACCGGACGATGACCGGAGAGTTAAAGGGAGTGTTATACATTTCCATGGGGGTTTGAACTGAAATAGCCATCTTAAAGATCATTCGGTACAGTTCACATCCCTCCCCTTCTTGGGGTCTAAACCCCTCTAATTTCTGAGTTGGGGAGAATCAAATAACCTAACCCCGAAGGCGGAAAGGACTTTTTCGGGGAGGGCATTTCAAATTCACCGTGTCATTCATGACGTCACGATAAGCCATTCATTCAGTAAGCCAGTCACTTTATAAGCCATGTAGCGATCAAGACCAATAACAATACAATGGTCGAGTCGTTCATATTTGGCGTTTGTGGCACGATTTCCACATATAACTGCCGTCAATCCTCTATCAATTAATACCGTGCAAGGTGCAATGACGTAATCGAACGATGACGTATCATGGAGCATATTTATTAAGCAGAGAAAGTGTGTCGTCCGGGGCAGTTTTTCACTTAAAAGTATACCAAATTGTTATAAGTGACATGCTTTCATCATATCTGATGCTGGCTTTAGTATCTTCCCATGTGAAGCATTCCCTTTAACTGGCCGAAACGTTAAATATATACCAACTACCAGCCGAAGACGATAGTCCGAATAAGTTGTGAATCTGTGGTACTGTTCTCTGGTTGCAAGGACCAGGGGCGGAGTTTTATGGGCCAACAAAGGGTCACTACAACAGCGTCCCAGAGCGGCGCAGAAAATGGGGTCTGTCTGTCATATGGTGTAGGTGTAGTGACGACTTCTTCTGATACTATCCCTTCCGAAGCCCTAGCCGGCGCTGAATTCGTCAGCCTAACCCGCTCAGGAGTGAATTCTTCCCCGTTGCCCAATCCAAGCTTTTCCATTTCATCCGGTGACCCCTTCCACCCGAACGGTTTCTCCTAAAACTAGGCCACTCGTCCAGGTCAGGCATACTAATCCCCCCTCTCCCTCTCTCTGTTTAGTGGTAAAGCGATCGGCAGAATATGCTCCACATCACGTCCCTACGTGCTCGTATACATTGTCAGATACAAGCACAACACCCACTGCGAAATAAGCGTACATCGATGCACACCAGCACTGGAGAAAACTTGCATCGCACTATGCTGCTGAAGTTTATGAACTCGTAATTTAACCCAGACTTCCAACGACCTAGACCAAAGTTATGATGCCCACTCAGAGCTGTGTGACCATAGTTTGTCATGTCGTCAAATCCATCGAGTGCGATGGCCTGACCAAAGTTTAAAGACTCCTTAGTTATGGTAGCCCATGGTTGGATGCCGGTATCTAGGTTACCTGATCCGAAGTAATGATTACCTGACCGCGAACCTCCATATTTCACCTCTGGACAGTTGTGACGCTGCCGCCGAACCCGTGTCAGCTCACGAGCGAGGCTCCGGCGCTGGACGCCGGCGGACAGTGTCAGCCGGTGCTGACGAGGGGGTCATGCCAGGCCGGCTTCTGGTCAGTCGTGCAGCCCGACACCTTCCAGGTGAGCAGAACCACGACAGAAAGCGGAAAATTCACTGGTATGTGGGACGTTGCTGTGCTGTATCTCATGGGAAAGGAAGGCGCTTGTTATGGGTCAAGCGAGATGGCCTCACTCGAATTTCTAAATAGGCAAATGTAGTGCAGTGTGAAATTTTACTGGCTCCCGCTCAGGCCGCTTCACCACGAACAATTTTCCTGCATAATTGCAATGTTACTAGTTTCACAGTTTCGTCTTTCTCTTTCTATTGACACGAAAGAGGTGAAGTTTTCAAACCGACACCCGGGTGAACATGTGCCGAAATTCAGACGACACGAGTTCACGTACATGTGACCCGTTGTCGCAGCGACATGGGGCAGGCATACTCCGACGGAGTCGAAAACGGGCCATTGTATTAAACCAAAAGAAAGTAGACCAGTAGAAACTCTGACCTCTGAACTATAATGCAACTTTCGGCCATTGTTGTTCTGATAATCAAGTACCAAACACGCGAAGTGAATTATAGTGCTTGGGGATGAAACAGAGGCCTTCCGGAGCAGACTTAGCTGGCTGTTGTGATGCACGGGGCTGCAGGTGGGACTGCGCTCCTGTTCATCCTCGTTTGTGTGCATTTCATATTTGGGACCAAACTAAACCCCTGGCTGGTAACTATGGAATACAGAGTGCTGATGCGTATAATTTCGTTGCCAAACCCAGGGGTGACGAACGTGCCGGCGTTTTCCAGAGCGTCTGTGCACCCCGCCTGTGCGGACCAGGCCGCGTGTTTCAAGCCTCGGACCAGCTTTGTCACGATGTGCGGGAGCCAGGACTCTGCGCAGGTACGTAAGTCGGTCCCCACGGGTGCTCCGTGAAAGTGCAGGGGATGGGCATGGACAGAGCCGTTATGAGCTGGGCGCAGAGTGAGGGTGGGATACAGAGGAACGAAGGACTGCCACCAGCGTATGGATATGAAACGGTTCTTGATGTGACGACGACTTTCAGTCATGATCTGTGCAGCTGAGGTGCTCACACTGAGCCAGTTCAGTTCATGGTGTCGATGGCCAGGCTGTCGCCGACCACCTGAGATTTGTTAAGCCACGGTCCCTGGCAAGCTTCGGCCATATCTGACCCTGACGCATGCTCCCAGGCTACCTTCGACCTTACCTGACCCTGATGTGCCTCCCAGATAAACTTCGGCCGTATCTGACCCTGACACGTGCTCCCAGACTACCTTCGACCTTACCTGGCCCTAATGTGCCTCCCATATAACCTTCGGCCGTATCTGACCCTGACACGTGCTCTCAGGCTACCTTTGACCTGACTTGACCCTGCCTCGTGCTCTCAGGCTACCTTCGACCTTATCTGACCCTGTCGCGTGCTCCCAGGCAACCTTCGGCCGTATCTGACAGCGTTTGGGACAGTGCTGTGTGACTGTGACGAAGGACAATACAGAGACAGCTCCGGCGAGTGTGCCGACCTGTTCAGTCCGGGGTCCTGTCCTCCCGCAGAGGTGAGTCGACTGCGGAATATCATGGAGGGGTACAGGGACAGATAAAGGAGAGAGAGAGAGAGAGGGGAGAGAGAGAGAGGGAGAGAGAGAGGATTGAGAGGAGAGATGAGAGGAGAGAGAGAGAGAGAGAGAGAGAGAGAGAGAGAGAGGAGAGAGAGAGAGAGAGAGAGAGAGAGAGAGAGAGAGAGAGGAGAGAGAGAGAGAGAGAGAGAGAGAGAGAGAGAGAGAGAGAGAGAGAGAGAGAGACCGGTATGTGTATGAATAAAGTCATACTAAACTGACTAGCATCTAAGTATGCAACTAAAGATGTACTCAGTTTACACCATGGCTTTGCGAGTGACAACAGTCTTGTTGCCATTTAGCTACCATTATCGTCTTGTATATAAGGCGTCATATTCGGTACGCAGAACTGGTTCAACGAACTTAACTCTGATCGATATTTGCATGTGATATGCACATGCAGACTTGATGCGGATGCCCGTAGAAATGGACAATGAGTTGTTACTGCCGCTTTTCACGCTACGTAGTGCTATGGCTGGCCCTCATGGCGGCAGACGTTCATCATTTAGTGTTCACGCACGGCTCATGTCACCGCATGACGCAGGTCATCGGGTCGGAACCTTTGTAACGGAGCAGGACGCAGAAAAATAAAACAATAGACAGATAAGCTTATCTGTATGAATTGATGGGGCGGTGTTGCCGTAAGAAGGTCGAAATGAAATCCTGGACAATCCCTCGTCTTCCAAGAAATAAGTTAAGTCAGCTTCATCGTCAACATTTTCATCAAGGGTGCTCGCACACACAACTCCTAGAGTTAATTGGCGCAAATATCTTAAGATATCTGCTTGCAACAAGTAACGGTCTGCGTAAGTCTTTAACACGATTGCATATACTGGCAAGAATAAAGATGATCTATCGCACATTAGTGACCATATTCCGGCATTTAAAACATTTAGTTGTTTTTACTTATTATCTGTTTAGATTCCCAAAATATGGTAATTTACATCCGTTTGGTCACCTTTATTTTTATCCCAATACCAGTGAAGATTTTTTCATAGATAAAGGTTACTATATCTAACAGTGGTATTAGATATCTATGTTTTTCTACCTGGGAATGCTGTATCTTGTAAGTCTGTCTTTAAGTCAGCTTCTCCGGGCTTGATGAGCAAGAATTGCCTGGACGCTTTGCCTGGACGCCATCTGGCGAAAAATATCGCCAAGCTGTAATGCGGCCAGGCTAGCATCAGTGAACTAGATAACAGTGCTATGCAAGCATACACACTTTTTAAATGTTCCGCCTTCATATTCACTCATCCTATTTTCGTTCGTGGCGCTGAGGTATGCACGTACCTATCATGCACGCATGTAATACATCTTTCGTACGCATGCATGCATGTAATATAATTGATGACTTCGCCTTGAATCTCAGATCTACGCTAGTCAGATCGCAAAAAGCATAATAAACATTAGGCATACGCTAAACCAATGCGGGGAGAGTCCAAACCTGTGCTACTACGACACCGTGTAGCGTAATAGAACATTGTGTAATGGCACAGCGAGGAAGGTGGTTAAGTATCAACGGGCAAGGAAACAATGAATCGCACGCTAAACCAGTCGTCTGGGATGTATAGGCCTGTGCTTCTACGTCACGGGGGGGTTTCCACGCCTTTGATAAATAGTTGGAATTACATGGTAACATTTGCGGTGGAAGAGTTAGAAATGTTGAACATGTGTGATCTACTAGGATTCCGTCTCACAAAGCTTAAAATTATCTTACTCTTCGTCCATACAAGCTACCAACCTGATGTTGTCGACATTTTAAAATATTTCTTGTCGCTTTGGTACCTCCATGGATTCATTTTGGCACAAGGCTTTAGTGGGCTCCTGCAAATTAGTTTGTTAAGCCAAAAGATAATCATAAACGGCACCTTGAAAGCGATGTGAAAAACATCAGTCTTGATCTGCAGATACCTGATAAAAACGCATGCTCCAAATATCCTGCCGGCGTCGGTGCCACCGACACGGTTTGTTCTACATGCTGAGGTCTTGCGGTCCGGGGTGCATACCTACCCTGGGGTTCCGGAAAGCTCCAGTTGTTCTGGTAGTTTCTACAGTGTCTGTTGCGAACCAGGGTTCGGATGGCTGTTGGTCCCGTGGTGCACTTTGACGAAATGACTGCTCCACGATGCTCCAGCGCTCCACTCAGTCACTACAACTGTGTTCCAGAGCCTCCAACTGGCCGGTGACTCCGAGAGGCTCCAGTGTTCACCCGATGCGTGCTCTAGACAACAAACAAACGAAGGGAGCATTTTTGCAAACATCAACGGCCAGTGTTTCGAGTTTGGCACGGTATGATCATGAAGTCCGACTGCCTTCACGAATGTTAAGACCACCTTACGGCTTGGCCTTGTGACATGCACTCGGAAAATGTATCGCGTTTTATCGCTTGTCATTTTTTCGCTCAAAAAAACTCGAAAAAACGAAATGCGCACAAGAAAACCATATATTTATGGTCTGCGTTACAATATTTAGGTCATGATCGTGTTATTTAATGACAGTTTGTCACGCACAACTAGCATAAACAACCTTGTTTCTAAAATAAAAATAGTCTAGCCCAGAAAACTACCCAAGATAGATAAGTACCCATAAGTGTGATTATTGGAAAACGATCAAGACCTTTCGCTAGTTTCCGACTCTTGATGAATGGACGCCATGCCATTCTTGCTTGATGCTCTTTCCGATTCGGTAAGAATGCTAGTCTTCTTGTGTTGATCCTGATGCATCGCCCCACAGCGCGGCCCGTGCGCCGCTGGCCAGCTGCTGGGCTGGGACGTGGAGCTGCGCCAGCCCGTCTGTGCCGAGGTGGACGAGCCATTCCTGGACGAGTTATTGCCAGCCGGGGCGACCGGCGCCGGCTCACGGCTGCGCCGCCAGATCGCGCTGCGGACCGGGGTGGTGCGCTCACCGCTGCTGGTCCGCTGCGGCTCGGCGGCCAGGATCAGCGCCGTCTTCAGCTGCCGACGCATGTAAGCCGCCACACATATATCCATTCTCTGCGCCGTCTTCAGCTGTCGACGCATGTAAGCCGCAACACATATATTCATGCTCTGCGCCGCCTTCAGCTGTCGACACATGTAAGTCACCACACATATATCCGTACTTGGCGCCGCCTTCAGCTGCCGACGCATGTAAGCCGCCACACATATATCCATACTCTGCGCCGTCTCCAGCTGCCGACGCATGAAAGCCGCAACACGTGAATTCATGCTCTGCGCCGTCTTCACCTGCCGGCACATGTAAGTCGCCACACATATATCCATACTTTGCGCCGTCTTCAGCTGCCGACGCATGTAAGCCGCCACACATATATCCATACTCGGCGCTGTCTTCAGTTGCCGACGTCGGTAAGCCACCGGACGTGTATCCATACTCTGCGCCGTCTTCAGCTGCCGACGCGTGTAAGCCGCCACACATATATCCATGCTCTGCGCCGTCTTCAGCTGCCGACGCATGTAAGCCGCCACACATATATCCATACCCGGCGCTGTCTTCAGTTGCCGACGCATGTAAGCCGCAACACGCATATTCATGCTCTGCGCCGTCTTCAGCTGCCGACACATGTAAGTTACCACACATATATCCATACTCTGCGCCGTCTTCAGCTGCCGACGCATGTAAGCCGCCACACATGTATCCATACTCGGCGCTGTCTTAAGTGGCCGACGCATGTAAGCCGCCACACATATATTCATGCTCTGCGCCGTCTTCAGCTGCCGACACATGTAAGTCGCCACACATAGATTCATATTTTGCGCGGGAAACTGACGCCAGAATAACGGTGCGACAAATCACATTTTTCTCAGTATGTCAAAGACGTCTCTTAAGATGACTCCATTCGTTTTCAGTGGCACTGAAAGAAGCTGGCATTCACATCAGCGCTTGTTTTCTTCCATTCTCGCTTCATCCTTGCTACGTCTCATTTACCGGAAGCAAACAAGCAAAATTTTCATTTATTGTTAGATCACACACGACCGATTTCATCGGCGATACAGGTTTTTCAAAATACTTCTAAATTGCCCAAAATTACAGTTTCGAGTAGCCGCCCAGACGAGAGAAATGTCAATGAGCCCGCGGCTCACCGATTATGAAAGTACTATCTTTTAGCTGATTTACTTTTTCACGTGTGCGTTGTGTAATGTTTGAAATACACAAACTGGCCAAAATGTCTGTGCAATGAATAAAAAAATGACTGGAGCGTGATTAGGGGGAAAATATATGCAAATGTAACGCCATCACCCCGCGAATTCACCGAAACATCATCAATGGTTTTTGATTGATGCTCATGGCGTTTAGCAAAGGGTTTTTTAGCAAAGGGTTTAGCAAAAGTTTCATCGCAGAGTAATAGCCTATGTGACACACCTGTTTAGCAAAGCCGAAGTGCGCTTCGAAAAGTGATGCGCATGGCGTTTGGCAAAGGGCCTCTTTTCGAAGCGCACTTCGGCTCTGCTAAACAGATATATCACATGGTCTATTGCTATGCGATGAAACTCCAACCAAACTGGTTCTTGATAAACGGTGTATCCCCCCACCTATTACGCTAATCACAAACGTTTATTTGTACTGACCTCATTCATATCAGTAAAGTTGCGACTTTTAAGTCGGCGGGCCCACAATGTGCGGGTCAAGACAGCTAAAAAGTAGTACCTTGATTCAGCAACAGCTGACGACTGCCCTCAGCAGATTCTGCTGTCGTGAGCTGTCCCCGGCAGCGGTCGCGTCGGAGATTCATCCCGAATATTGGAAAATTCTGCGGAATGGCGTTCAGCACTGCTAACACAGAAAGTTATCGTAGATGGTCATACACACCAAAGGAGAAATCCCGATAATTTTCAAAGGGCGACCAAGACGGAGAATCTCTTTTCCATATGCCTGGCTATGACTTCTCGCGTAGGTGCAGCTATGCATAGAGTATGCACCGCGAAACGGGGATACTTTTAGGCCCGCCGAACGTAAATGTAGAGCCCAACGTGGAGGATTATCGGACAGAAACATATTGATCAAACGATCTTTGCTCGGCCAGACGCACCCCAGACGTTATGAGGGTACAAGAAATCAGGTGTAGTGTGGGGACAAAAGGTTGACAACGTTATTTGAACCAAAAAATGATTGCGATTTATTTGCTTATTCTACCCTATTGGTACTGCAGTGACACTACTCAGGTTTATCGTAGGACGCAACTGGTCCAGAGGTTCCCTATGAGTATGGTTATAAATATGCCCCAGAGGCGGGAAACGCCCTTTAAATGCATCGTGGCTGGGGCCAGTCCGAGCGCCAAGCACATAACGCACGTAACGGTTCCTAGGGGTGAAACAAGCTTCTGATTTACCTGACCGGTATGATCGGTGACAAGAGCTTACACTTTTGTGAGCCAGTTGGTGGCAAATTTGTGAAAATGCAAGCAAATTTCGACACACTAGATCATATACAACAGACCATCCCAGCTAGACGAAACTCCAGGCTTAGGAGTACACTTGCTAACGCTTGCAGCGTGAGCATGCGTAGAGGACATGTTGAAACATGACGTTTCGCTGTATGAGCAAGTTGAGTCATAAAGTGATGCCAAATATAGTATTTTTAATCAGGATAGTTGTAAGCATGGTGACACAAATGTACTGCAAACTATACCATATCAGTGCTGACATCACGGATCAGATGTGACACAGTGCTTTTCCAATGCCCTCAGTTCGGTGCTTTCGACAGGATTTTCCAGCCGAAATTCACTTCATATACCAAACAACCTAAAATACAAAATAACTAGGCTTGTTAGCAATCGTAACAATCGTTTCTAACCACAGTATTTTGCGACGAAGGTGACCAGGCTGCCACGCAGCATTTTAAAGCGCCGTGCCATTTCAGACAGATGGGCCCGAATGCTCGCCACGCCGTAATGTGTTGGGTTAAGTGCAAGGCTATGGGCTGGTATTTGTCGTGTTCATACCATGAGAAGCTGCCGAGCTAGACAAACGTATGTAGTCGTCATTTTTTATGTAAGAGCGTTAGAAAGCTTTGCGATTTAAGAGGATCATTGTTTATGGATGCCTGAGCTGTAGCTTCAGAGACCAATGGAGGAATTTGAAGGGCCACATGTCAAGGTTCATCCTAGATGTCCTGCTGCTGTGATGAACAGCGGCTTTGAGGTAACAGGCCGAGCATCGTTGGTGTAGGTCTCTCACATTGTCCGCTGCACCTCAGACTTAGCGTGCTGACCAGTGGACAGTGTGAAATGAGACGCTTGTGTTGTCATCAAATCGTTTATAAAGTCATATGAAGGTGCTGAAGGTGTTAAAAATATCGTTTATATCTGTTGATGCCGATATTGCATGGGTTCTTCTCCAAATAATTGGAATTATGTTGGGAAACGCGAGCCGTTTTGCACCGGTATTGATTATGCGAAGATAGTGGAGGCAATTTCTAAAATAGGAGGCTACATACCTGGTTCGAGGGCACAATCCCCTTTCCCCAACTGAATAGGAAGCAACAAGCCTCTAGGCTGGTTATGTTAGGTATGCCTTTATGTAATAATTTTATTAGTTCAGTCTCAACCGTTATTCGTTGTTGATGGCTAGCAAATGATACTTTAGTACAAACAAACTCCCGAAGCGAAGGTGTTTGATGGTTACGTTGCATTGCATTCAATTTTCTTTGTTATATTTTTATTTATCGCATTATCACATATAGAGTTATATTGCAACAGTTTCCGAAAGATTTGGCTCTAAGTGACAAATCAGGCGGTTCCAAATACCGTCGCTGACAGAAAGGGCACTTTCCACCCCTGAGGGCCCCTGTGCGGGCGAAGGCTCGACGGAGGACCCCCAGGTGTATGTAGTTTTGCCCCACCATTAGACATTCTCACTGTTTTTTTATAGCCATCAAATGGTCATGACTGGCCGAAAGGCTTAATCCAAACAAAAATCGACATCGTATCACCGATATGCTCTGTTAAGTAGCATCTCCGAAGTTGGCTGTGGACATGGTTTAGATTTAAGTAAGACATTTTAAAAGCTGAACGGTTTGCGAAGAATGCATCCCGCCTCTTCTTACCAATGTAACATGCTTTGAACGTGTACGTCTTGGACGTGTTATTGTTTGTTAGTTAGTTGTTAGTATGTCCCCAGCGCAGGTGGCTGTAACATTGCGCGCAAGCTGATGTGTTGTGGGCAGAAATGCATCTCGGCAAAATCGCCATGCAAAGATATGGATTTGACTGTAAATCTTCTTTCCTCACATTCTTTACTCTTGCTTCTTTCCTTGCATTGCATTTATATGTTCATGTTTTGTACCGTGGTGTTCAAGGTTGCAAAGGTACAAGGCGATGATTATTAAAGATATGAATATTTTTCAGCATATTTCCTGGTCGCAATAGAAGAGGTGGTGGAAGGATCTTACCACCTATTCCACCGAACTTCGCCTGCCCCCAGGTTTGTTGAGAATGAGGTAGAAGCAAAGGTGACAATACGGCGATTTTAGCTAATTGTATGGTGTAATATTGCCGGGACTCAAAACCTCACCGTCTGGGGCTTTCTCCGTTGTCGAAGGGGTGGAGGGGAATATCTTATGAGCATTGGTAGGAGTAAGATAGCACAGTGCTCATCGTTGCATGTTATACGGTGGCACCAATGCATCTCATCACTCGATGCGTCTAAAAAATAAGGGGTATTTCTGTTCGGAAAAACGCACCTCCCAACTCATACTTTGCTTTAGCCCATCACCATTATACTGCTCTCATTCTCATCGGTTTACGCATATCCCACTCTCCTCTTCTGTCTCCCATAACCTCTGGGTATGTCGTTGCCGTTGACGGGCACCTGTACGGACCGGGCCATCTCCCTGCTCTCAGGCGGAGGCGTCGCTGTCCAGCGCCGGCCGCTGCGTGACGGCACAGCAGGCGGCCGCCGACAGCTGCCACCCGGGCACGATGCTCGACCCGACCGGCAGGTGTCGCCCCATCGCGGCCGCGCTCGGCCGCCGCTCGGCGCTGGTGGAGTCGCTGTTCGCCTGAGCAAGCCCTGGCGGCCTGACGACGGGAATGGCAACCAGCATTGCTGCAATTGACCCACAGATATCAGAATAGCCGTTGGGCGTCGCAGCCGGCGAGGCGTTTGATGTTTCTGTCGCTGCTCGTTTGTTCTTGTTGAGACAGGCTGGAACAAGAATGGGAGGCCTGTCACCTCGCGCATTCATTGAAGATTCTCAGGTGTGAATTATCGTGCATTCTGTGTGCGATATCGTGCATTCCGCGTCAGTCGATGCCCTAACATTTGAACTCATGCAATTCATATACTAACCAATTCCACAGTATTTTTGCGTATTTATTATGCATTAATAGTTTTCGTGCGATCCAGGTGTTAAAAATCCAACGTGACATTTCAGGTATATTTTTGGTTAAAAATAGACCTTGCGAAATATCGGAGAAGCTGCTGCATAGTGCAAACGGTGAATACGAGGCGCAAGACACTCTTTACCCGGAGTGAGATACCACAGCGACCTGGAAAAGAACGGCGTTAACCACAGAAGGGCGAGATATATTCTCCATTTTCCCTCGTACTGTTCGCGGAAGGGGTGATAAGCATTACGTTGTCGTTTGATTTTAACTTGGGATACAGAAACGAAACAAGGCCCAGTGGATAGCCTGTATAAGAAATCAAGAAATATTCCGGTTTATTTCTTGAGATGAACTGCCGACTGTCCAAGTTTGGTCAGATCTAGCGCTAAAGAGCATGAAGTCAAAATACCCGTTTCCAAGCATGGAAACTGTTTTCTAGCCAAATGGACAAAGGATCTTGTTCTGAATCTGAATTAAGGAAATGTAAGATTTATAGAACTGATTTTAGCGTTCAATTAACTGCGACAACGCACGGTTAAACATCGATACATACGATAAACTCATGTTCATGCGCGAATATGAAAGCGATCCACCTGAAATCTGGACGGCAGCCAAACACGTGCCCTGAGGCCAGGCAAAGGAACGACACAAGTCTAAGGAAAGTGGTGTGTGGAAGAGAGGACGGCAAAATGGAAGAATAGGGTAGAGCAGGACGGTTGAGGAAAGAGGGGGGGGGGGGGAGCACCGAAGGGGTAAGTAAGCAAGAAGCCTGCACTCCTCTCATGCCAAAGAGAGCTCCGAGCTATGAAGATGGACAGCTCAAATACAGGCTGACGGAGGTCTTTACATTTTGAAGTTTTTAGAGAGGATTGCAACAGAGATCTGAAACGGAGGAGCCATCAAACGAAGGCGGAAGGAGCCACGAGGTAATTAGGTGAGCATCTGAGGCAAACGAAATCTAAGGTATTTCAAGGTATATGTATGTAATAATAAGGACGCAAAAAAGTATCTGCGGAGGTCAAAGGTACAAAATCTTAATATTTATGTTCGAGTTCCCCTACAAAATTGTGGAATCCCTCTGCTATAGCCAAAGGTGCCACCATTATTGGAGTCTGGTGCCGCCTCTACATAGACTTGGGGGCTATTTACCGAAGCGCGGCACACAGCACACACAGGATACATTTTATCTGTGTCCGGTGAGCTACGTGTGCGTTAACGATAAGTTAACCTGATTTACATCTGACCCCTACTCATACATTTGTTGTTGGTTCGATTTCTCATACGTTTATTCAACTGCCACTGTTTTGTAACAGATGAAATGAAAAAGTTAGGTTTTAGGACGCCTTTGACATCTTCTATGATCATGAGATGTTCCAAGGGGCACACTGCTCTATGCTGTTTCTTTTACTGCACTACCGCGCCTGACACAGATCAAAGAAATGCATTAAGATGATGCTGCAGATGGGGACGTCTGTCTTGGTCTCTACATTAGCTCCTGTTATGCTGTTATAGTTTTGTGTTCAGGCATTGACTACTTCGTTAATTCGATGTCATCACGTGAGATGATGCGATCTAATGCACGACGATCCAAAGAAAGAGGATTTTTACTTAACTTCGTTGATAGTAAGGGAAGAGATATCGTTCATACATAAGGGAAGCTCGTTGTGTCAGGGAACCTGCACATTGCAAATAGCGAGCCCCGACCATGTTCCTGCTTGGAAAATGGGCCTTAAGGGCTCAGACAGACATGAAGCCGACTGTTTAGTTCCGTGTCGAGACCCTGTACAATGGGGATAGAGAATCCTTATAAAAGGGACCTTGTAAAAGCCCTTTGACTGACGTTTCAGGTTAAAGCTTAACGGGTAGGGGCTGGGTCCGAGTTTAACCGGGCCCTTGATCTTTGGTCCCAGAGGGCCCTCCGGCCTCTCCTCAGACCTCCTCAGACAAAGTCCCTGACCGACTAAGGACGACTAGCCGAGACATGACCTACTGTTATGCATTGAGGGCCCCTGGTCGACAAAGAGGCCTCAACCACAGTTTCAAGGACCCAGACAATGTAAATCGTGGCGCCTGATCTTGCTTCTGCTTGGAAAATGGGCTCCTAGGGTTCAGACTGACAGGAAGCCAACTGTTCGGCGTCCCTGATCTCTGACCGAATTAGACACCCGCATTGTTTCAGGGGTTCCTCTGACGGTGCAAGAGGACCTCTGACTGATATTTAAGGCGACGACCCTACGGGCCGCGATTCTTTTTGTGACCTTTAGCCAGTCCTTCGGGTCCTTATGCCTTCCTTTGATCGCCAGCTCCGGTGGGCCGCCCGGGCCCCTCTTCGGGCCTCATCGAACACTTCCCTTGATCAGCCCGAAGCCCTTGCAGGCGCAGGACTCTCTGTTAGGTGCTGTGGGTCCCTGACAGATACAAGGCCTCAGACCAGTGTAAATAATTGGCCCCGGATTTATGGCTGAGTGGGAAACGGGTCCTCAGGCCCATATCGCCATGGAGCCGACTACGTGGTACGGTGGTACCTGACTGACATATAAGCCCATATCGGCCCAGGGGATCCCCGATCGGCGCAAAGGGCCCTTTGACCGTTATTTGAGGGTCCGTCTTCGCAGATAAGAGTCCCTGAATGAGACTCCGATCAGCCCTTTATGCCTTTAGACCCTCCAATTGGGTCCTTGATCGTCGGACCCGGCGGGCCCTCTGGACTCCTCGGGCCTCCTCGAACACTGCCTCTGGCCGACTTGGGAACCCTTGACAACACAGGGCCCCTGTTAGGCGCTGTGAGGCCCCGAACAATGTAAACCGCTGGCCCCGGCTTTGTCCCGGCCTTGGAGATAGGCCCCTGGGCACATGCCGCAATAGAGCCGGCTGTACGTTGCTGGTGGCGTCTGGCCGAAATCAAGGCCCTTATTAACTCAGTAGATCCCTGGTCAGCGCACAGGGCCCTATGGCTGGCATTGGAGTGCCCAGCCCTGCGGGCCGGAGCTCCTGAATGAGACCTCCGGCTAACCTTCCGGGCCCTTAATCGTAGGTTCCGAGGAGCCCGAAGGGCCCCTCGGAACCTAAGGGAGGGACGTGCCCTCTGTACCCCCCCCCCCCACGCTTGGGCTACTGAACGTGAGTGCTGCACCGCAGCCTGAAGTTCGCCTTACGGCTGCCTGCCAAGGTTTTCCGTGGTAGCCTTTAACATGCGCGCACGTCAACTTACGAAGTCAATTCTTGAATCAAACGCGCACAACGGCGTCTACAGCGACATAGCATCGACCGTACGCCGGCTACTGAAACCCAGTTTCGTTCATCGAAACCCAACAAAATGGTTTCATCCCCGGCGACAACATCCCACACCGAGCCAGAGCGAGAAAACGTGTCTGAAAAAACACCTTCACGGCTAGGTGAGACTCCTGCTCCCAAACTTTAAAAGGAAGGGTGCGTCAAATCCGGGGAAAATCTGTGTTTAGTGAGTCTTAGCGACAGTTTTACCTGTTTTCTTCGACCAGCGCCCCAAATTTGTTTCGCTAAATTTCACCGCTGTGGTGAATGCTTAATGACCATGAGACGCGACGGATTCGCCACCAATAACTTTACCGTTCAGCCAACATCTAAAGGGGAAAGGGTCTGAGTCAAAGACAGGTGGTTTAAAATCACTGTAAGGCGACCGGCAGCTTACACCAATCCAACTAACAGCAAACAAATTTTCAAGGATGTCGATCGTATTGAAGACATATTGAAAAATGAATCGGGTTCCCGCACTGCCTACTGCACACAAATATGATACCGAATGAAATACATGGAGATCCCCAGAGCTGCAATTCCGGATTTAAGAACCATTATTTTTAGCACATAAATTTGAAACCTGTTTTAAGAGAGAAAGAAAAATCATAACATACGGATACAATTGTATAAATGCCAAAACACCAGAACGTATATCAACGAGGCAAAGAGACAAAAGAATAACAAGCACTGACAGCAAGTTTCGCATTGCCCGGAAAAAGGTAAGGGTTTCATAAGTATTCAATAAAATAAACCGAAATGAGCTAGACATGAAATTAGGTCGACCCATGTGGGTTGAGGCAAGCTCTTCTCCAGAATCGACTAGTGAAACAAATTACATAAAAAGTTTTGAGCCTGTACTCACAATCTTAGCAGCAGGAACACCGATGGGCCGGAGTTTAAGTGTCGGTCAAACAGCGTGACATTGGCGGGCGTGCCAGAACGACCATTGTGAAATAATCCTTCCCCAAAGTCTCTCAAAATCAATTCGTACCGGTCAAAGGTAAGACTGGGACGCACATTTTAGTCCTATGATTTTGAGGTTGGCTGACCTCCGAACAGCTTAAAGGTTACAGCAACGCGGAAATGGAAATTTTGTCTTTACTTTTCCAGGCGCTCCACCAGATTCTAGCACGATTTCACAGTGCGGTCACTGCTATTGCGTTCTTATTGGCTATCTAAAACCCAAATTGATGCTTCAAAACTTTCAAAGACACTTCTTTCAGACGCGTCATGGTTCTCATCCGCACGTTGGCAACCACCTATTGTTAACCAAGGAGGGAGGCCAGCATAATGCTGCGTACGGAGACTGCAACGCCGGGGTTGGGTTTTGTTTTTAAGGCTTGCAAGCGCACATGCTCCTTGCTGTTCAATCCATTTTTTTCCACCGATCACTTCTAAAGGTAAGTCAAGCATTCCCAGACTCGTGGTTTGACAGCGTCATTGCACAACTTTGATCCCGTTTCGATCTACAATCTACGTTCACGGAGTCATCAATGCCTATTGCTGTAGAGCAAAGAAAAGAAAAATCCGATCCGACGGAAACCCTGAATGCTATCAGTTTACAAAGCCAAACACTGAAACATGGTAAGAGGAAGATCAGAAAATAATGAGAAAAAAATTGTGCAGTTATTTAGGGTCTAACTCGTCCAGCTCCATGAGTTAAAAATACAAACAGAATTAGATCTTTCGGTGGCCTCTAGCATCTTGTGATGTTGAAACCGGTAAAATGAATATTGAAACGAAGAGGAACACCTCCGATGGTTTTTTTTTCTGGAGGGCTTTGTTAGCTCTGTGCTTTCCCTTTCCCCGATGCA